AATTTTATTGATCATACAAATTTAGCATATTATTTTGTTTTAACTTATTTTAGTTATTTGATAGGAAAAAAAATTCAATAAAATACAACATCTTATCCACCATGTGTTAGGATTTGTCTATTCTGTCTACCTGTATACTTCGTACATTAATTTTTTCCACTGGGAATCGAGCACAACTCCAATCTATCCTTTGTTTCTTTAACTCAAATAATTGATATTATTAAGTCAAAAACTGATAGATACACGATAAATTCAGCCAAATCTAGTAATGCTAAATAAATTAAGAAATGCAATACTGTGTAATACTGAGTGAATATTTTGTTAGCAACGTACACCAAGTTGTTTAGTTCTTATTAGTGACTGAATTCAATCAATGAATTTGTAATAAATCCACTAGTTTTTTACTAACGGGACACTGAAGTGAATTCCGCTTCATCCTAGGTTAGATGTTGAATTTGATTTTGATCTTGAATGGCAAAATCAATAATCTATGTTATATTTCATCTAGACACACTAAAGTAGTTTAGTTTCATTATAGAAGTTGTATCACAGGTCACTTATTACTGAGTAGTATGTTACCAATACAAAACCTCGTCTAGTAGAATCCACTATTCATATAGAAGCTCTCTGAAATGGGTAAGATTTGATGACAGGTAAAAATAATATGGATAATATTGAGATTAAGGTAACTTTTGGTCAAAAAAGTAAGATGATTAGTTCAAAACGACAACTGTTTTTTTCTCTTTGTTATTACATTTATTCAAATTGTAGATCGATCATCATTGAAACACAAATCTGAAAATAAAATATGTAGAAAGAAATACCAGTCACTAAAAGGACTCTGGAATTCTTAGGACTCCTAAATGACTATGGCTAAAGTTCTTATAAATGGACAAGCTTTTTAACTCAACAAATATGAAAATGTTAACAACGTGTACTGAAGGGAAAATAACAATCTTTCTAATTATCCTAATTAATATTTTCAAATTTTCGATTCTTAGTGCTATTTTAATTTTTAAGAAGATTATAGCACCATTGGTTGGTCCTTCAAACATTATAACTTGATAATCATAGGTAGCCGACTGGCAGATAGTTTTTCAGAAGCAAATCAAAGCAAACCGTAGTAGAAATATTCATATTTGAAAGTTACCATATTTGTTTATCAACAATCAGAGCGAACAAGAAAGAAAAACAAAGCTAATCTCTCTCCCCCCCCCAAAAAAAAGAATCACTGAAAGAATTAATTACGACTGTAAGATGCAAAATATTATGTAATACCATAATTAAAACTTGAAAAATATCAATTCCAGTGCTACTGATTATTAAAAATATATCTTACTGTACATAAATAAGTAACATACATTTCTACGAAGAGTTCAAGTCAAAGTCGATAACTGTGTAGGCTGATTTCTTGTTCTGTCTGTTAATTTTTTTTTTGAGTTTTATGTAATTATTTTCCCGAAAGAGTGACATATCAAACGTCAGAAATGCGATTTTCTACGTATTAGCACATGAAAAATAAGTTACTCTGTTGTTACAAAAAGTTTTTGATCATTTTCATCCTTTTTTTACAGATACAGTGAGAAATACCTTGCATCACTGAGAAAAAGCAAAAGAATATTTCAGTAAAATACAGTAATTATTCGATGTTATTGCTTACGAGATATATTGATATTAATAGTTATTTAACACTTATAACTGTTTGTTATGTAATTGATGTCGTCATTAACAAATTTCTTGAACATCTATCTCTACTATATCAATATTGTGTAATAATCTAAAGGGTAATTGGAAAAATAAGTAGATAATATAGTTTTTATAGATAGAAATTTTGAGAGGCGATACACTTTTTTGTGTGTGGTAAACATGAAACTTATAAGTGGCACTTACAACTTAATATCAAATATTAAAAAAGTGATGATAAGTGGTATAAACGATACTCCTGAATAATAAAGACAAATTTGACTTTAAATTTAAAAAAATAACTTTAAAATATAATCGCTTTAATCATTTTGTGAGTACTACGTTCTCTATTAAGCATATTTTTTTTTAATTTGGTTGTTAAATTGAAGTAGTGCAATATTTGTTCAATGTTGAAAAATGGAGCATCAAACAACTTTCACATAAATAGTAATTGTAAGTGATTTGTTGTTTGAAAAATAAAAAAAAAACTACAATGAAAAATTTCCTGAAATAATTTGTAGACAACTGAATACGTTCGAAATAAAGTTTGATAAAGATGGCACTATTTTCAAACGCTGCTTTTTTTCAGTACTTTCAAGAATGCTGTATTTTTAATTCTCTTCAGTATCAGGTATTTTTTTTTGTTGATTGTATTATTCTATTATATCGATAAGAATTAGTGTAGACGTAAAGTTGATTGTAGATATTTTGTTGGATTTTTGTTAATTCACTGCTAATCTGTCGTTCACATTTATAGCACACACATCAGGATTTATTACTTATGGTGCTTGATGTATATTATTTGATACATCTACTCTGAGTACTGGAGAATAATTTAAAACTTCCCTGGCTTCCAAATGGACCGTTTAAAACGAGTGAGGAATTCACACGTATTATTGATAGATTTGATTATGTAAGAAATAGTTTAACAGACTTATTAGTCGATGGGAATGTGTTGGGGATGTTAGATCCCAAAAATCTCGCTTGATAAATGCCTTATTTTGGATTTCACGTTTGCCAGCATAGGCTGATCAGTTGACGTTGAGATTTCATTTCCTACCATCCTCGGCTGTGATTGGCTGCTGTGTATTTTAGTGTGCTATTTTCGTGACTGTCCCAAGGACGTTTCTATAATGTATAAATAAACGAGAGTTGTGTGCTTGATTGTATTGTGATTGCTGGGTGTTTGTAGAATATACTTTCTACGTTTACAAAGCCTTATGTCTTCAGCTTGGGATTCAAGGTAGCCTATCTGGACGCTGGTAATTGTCTCGTTCGCGTTTATCGACTAAGGTGAACTCGTGATAGCTTCAAGCGTTCCTAGTGACGAACATATCAGAATGATTAGAAAATTGACAATATTCTATTATGTACTTACTAACTTATTATAACAAGTATCAATTCAGTCAGTATTTTTCTTTATTTCAAAATCCTTCTTAGATGATTAATTTATTCGATGTCACACATCTAGTCGCTTATTGGAGCGTAATAGCTGTTAAAGACTTCCTAGTTTTCACTTTTAGGTTAGCTATGATCAGTTCATGATTTACTTTAAGAAAAAAATATACATATACAGTTAATATTCGTGTGGAATTCAGACATAAGTATATAATACAGCAAGGCTGTCAAAATTAATCGTCAATTCAATCAGAGATGAGTAAACAGCTATTGGCTAGTCACTTTATCAAAATTAACCTTTCAGTTCAGTTTTGTTTTTTTCCCTACAATACTGAGTTTTATTAACAGAAAATGTATAGAGACAAATAAATAATTTTGTTTTGAAATAAAAAAAAACAATCTTTATGTTCATTTGCTTAGTGGTGTAGTTTATTTGTAAGCAACATATATACAGTTTATAATCCTTTTCCACATTAAGAAAAGTTCATTCTTACCATTTGTCTAGTCATCCTTATTAATGAAACTTTGCTACATTGAAAAATTAATTTTAATTTAATATCGTATCATCACCAAGTTAGAAGATCATTTTCTAACAACGGAACAGAGAAATTTTCTATTTATCTAAACAACCAAAATAACAGCCAATCGATTCATGTTTTACTTTTGTTCGGAACGAAATCTTAATTTCTTAGTCTTTCATTTCTATATCACAGATACCTGCTATTTAAATACTTTATTACTAATGTTAAAATAAGTTTGACAAATTGATAATTGTGTCATGACAGTTTAATCTGCCCCTTAAATTCATCAGTCGAATTAAAATGTCTTAAATCTACCATATACAACTGTAAATGTTTCTTTATAGAAATAAATGTATTTCAAGAATTAGAGCTCACTTGAAAAGTAAATTAATAACTAGAAAGCACAATCTGATAAAAAGAACATCTGACACAATTCTTTCTTCAAGAACTGAATATGAAGGAAAAAAAAACAGCAACACCAGGCAACAATGACAACAGCACTTACCATTATTGAAAACTTACAATCAAGATATGAAAAACAAGAACAAAGAATAAATGGTGATGTTGATCAAGAAATTTTTGGAGAATAACAAGAGAAGTGTTGCATAGTTAGTTGGTGGGACAAAAGAAACCAATGAATAAAATAGTCGACTGAGTGGGAAAATAAACCAGGCCAAACAATCTTGTTTTCTTTCCGGCCGATCTCTATTGATTTTGCCTCTGTCGATTTTCATCTCTGATTGTCTATTTCTATCTGCATTACGTAAGACGCTTAACACTATGCTGCTTGGAAGTGGATCTTTCTTGTTTGGTTTTTCTTTTTCAAATTCAAATTTACTGCATGCAAACTAATGACTAAAACAAGCAACTATTCACATACACACACGTACAGAAGTAATCATAATCATGAAAGACTTGAGTAGATTCTCTTCAGTAATAATGTGGATAATACTCAGATATTTATACTAACACTGTGTTAATTAATTGAGTAATCTTGTTGAGTCCAACATGTCTAACTTCTCAAGTACATTGTATCAACAACATTATCCCTGACGAGAAAAAAACTGTACTATTTTTGGAAAATAAAATAAATTTTTTTATTCACTTGGTGGTTTATTTGTGATTACATTTCTCTGCGTGTGTGTGTGTGTAATGAAGAACTAAAAGCGATAAAAAAAGGAACAAAAAATGAGTTTTTTTTCTATTTTTTACAGACTTTCTTTTTGACCACTATGAATATAAATATGTACAGTAATTATTATACAACAAAACGCTTGGACTACACAGTGAATCTGTTGATCATCATTTTTATTCTGAATGTATGTATGTATGTGTGTGTGTGAGTGTATGTAGCAGTGATGTTTTATTATGTTTATTTGTGTGTATAATGATAAGAAATGCGAATAGTCCCTCTTCAATCCAATTTTCTGTTTTTTTTCTTCTTCTTCTTCAAAAAATTCCTTCATTGTTATTAATCAATATAAATAATAGTTACGAAAATAATAAACAAATAAATAAATAAAATAAAATAAATAATTATTTCTATTATCAAACAATTTAAGTAATATTTTCTGATACAACTGTTGGTAGGATTATTTGATCTGTGCATAAATTACTACTACTGCTACTACTATTCCTATTGTTTGATGTTATATCAATAGTATTGGAAGTGTTTTTATTATTGTCAGATTTCAATGATTTAACTTTTTTACTTTTAGATGGTTTAACCGAATTAGATGATTTGTTCATTTTGATGTTAACATGAGTAGTTTGATCCATGGATGAAGTGTGAATATGCTCAGGGCTAGATGCAACACCTCGAGTTACAGTTGTTACAGTGATAGGAGTTTTTGTAGTATTTGTGGTAATAATAGTATTGACTGTTGTATTAGACTGATCAGAATGTAATGTACTCATGATTGATGTGTGATGTGATGAAAGCGGATGTTTATTATTATTAGTATTATCATTATTATTATTATTATTATTGTTATTATCACTTTTATGTTTACTTTTTATAACTGTTTCTGATGAACAAGTTGATGGTAAATCAGTGGTGGTACCATCAAATGATTTTTCTTTTTTTAACTTTTTCTTTTTCTTTTGTTTTCCACTTTGATTGAATTCATCACGTTCATCAACAACTTCAGCTACAGATGGTGGTTGTGATCGTGATGAAGTTATACGTAACTGTTGTAATACAGTGAAACGTAATACATCCGATAAACTAATTATACCATCTACACGATAATCAGTTGTATTGTTCACAATCACAAGGCTACGATACTAAAATAGAAAAACAAAAAAAGACCAGAAAAAAAGAGGAATTGATAGAGAAATTTAGTAAATTTAGTAAGAAAAAAAAACTATGCATAAAATGTTTGTGATGAAAAATCGTGTTGAAAAAAAATTATTCTCAATCAAAATCTGTCATAGTTGTGTTATATATATTAAGTTAATTTTTATTGTTTGAATAAACTGAAAAGCATTCGGAATAAATGATCTCTAGTCTGTAAACAATTATTGTTTAGTAAATACAAAATTCATACGACTGTATCGTTGAGATTCTCTAAACAATCAAAAAATATTCATCTTTCAAGTGTTCATCAATCGATAGGTTAAACAATAGAATTTTTATCATTAAAATCTATTGTAGTTCTATAGTAGCGATCAAGATTATGTAATAGAACGGGACCATATGAAAGTTGGATAAAGAAAGCTCTTGTGCAAAGTATGCTTTGATAATACTAATCAGAATACCTATGCACACTCTGTAACTAAATCAATCAGCCTATAGAACTCTAATTATTTCATTTATGATGGATTTATATCCTAAATTCAAATAGTATTGAAAAATAATTATCAAACAAAGGAAGAAAAACGATGTTTGTAGAATGAAATGAATTCATTCTGCTTCACAGCTCATCAGTTGCATGTAGACTAAAATCACAATTGTTCATGTAATATAATTATAAACGGAATGTTTTGCATTCTTTAGTTTTTGAAGTTGAGATAAACTTTTAGAAAGTAACCTAATAAGTGAATGAATACACTCGGCTAAGATTCATGTATGTTTATATGAGCGAAAGTACTACAACAAAGTATGTTTATGCATCTGATGAGAAGCTGTGAGTAATAATAAATTCATGTTATTTGATGTGTAGTGGCTAGAGTAAAATGTGATTAGTCATAGAGTGTGGTCACACAGGCACATAGTCTACTGACTTCTGAACATGTGATTTCCCTTCTTGTTATTGATTTTTACTCCGGACTAATCGATAATAACTACTTGTAATTGTATGGAATGAAGTGTCGTCCAGAATTACTCTACTTCTGTAGTCTGGTTGAGAATCCGGCCCCTGAAATAACCTGATCTAGTCTTTGTGTTGCGTAGTGTTCGAGTATCCAATCCAATGGTTGTATACACTCAGTCACCTAGACCAGTCTCACTGTCGTATTACTACTGCATTATTACAGTATGATAATATCTCGTGCGATAAAGAAAAATATTCTAAAAACCACGTTACATCATTATTCTAGCAACCTTGTTCTTGCTATGTTTAAATTTATCAAAGAATCTAGTTGTTATGATATCTTCCAACTCTTTTACGATAGTTAGTAACAAGAAAAATTATTCAGTATAAAACAGCAAATGTTTTTAAACACAGTCTCCCTATTCCAATAAATTCCAATAAAAAAAAGTATAAACGTTCATACTTGTAAAAAAATCACTCTCAACCTATGAAAATATTTCCTTTTTGTATATTGTTGCCTTCCTTAAGAATGAAACGTTTTATTTATAGTTTATTGATTTGTTTCACGAAATTTATACATAAACCGTATTTTATCAAATCTATTATTCAACTGAATAAAAAAACGGATATTAAGTATTAACAATTCTCTCTCTGTCTTTGTATATATATATATATATATATATATATATATATATAATTAATATGATCATGAGTTTAGGTGATTGAAACTTATACGCAAATTATGTCGCCAATATTTTATTTTAAAATCTTAATGTAGTAGCCAACAACAATGAAAAAAATGAACTTTAGTGACTGAAGAAGATGGAAATAATAATGATAATAATAATAGTAAAAATAACTGTCAAATAGCCAACATAAGTAGCATTCTTATCATTGAATGAATTCCCTTATTTATTGTTTGAATTGAATTGTAAATTTATATATATTGTTTCATCAGAAACATTATTCTACTTTCATATGCCAGTTGTACTTGTACACCTTTTTTTCGTTTGTATCATTCATTGTAGCTTTTAAAACCAAGCATCAGACATTCTGATCGATACATTTACATTTTTCCTAGTATAGACAACGCATAACTTTTGCATAAAACACTCTGCCAAAATAAAATTAGCACCAATTATCACTGTATTTTCAACAACTTACCCCTGTTTTAACAAGCTTTTCTATCACATAAAGTAAGTTGTTTGATGCAAGACAAATTTCCACAGGTGGTTTTCTTTGTGTCTCATCCACAGACTTATTGTTTGTCTAGAAATTGAAAAAAAAAATTCATCGAAAAGTATGTGTATAATTCGTATTTGCCTGAAAAAGATATGTGATACATTTGATTAAAATGATTTCTGTCAGTAAGCACAATTACTAACAGATAATAAGCGTTTGCTTGTAGTAAATCATCAGCTAATGTATACATTAACATTGAAAGACTCAAACTAAGTTTCACTATTCCGTTTTTCTTTTTTTGATAATTTAAATCTAAACGGGTTGGATATAAAACCAAGAACTGCATCCAATAACAATTTTAGCTACGCTACGTATAAACCTTGATGGTGAGTTGAACCCATACGTATTTCTTGTGCATAAACTCATACTTTCTGTAACTCTGTTGGGGACGTTACATCCCCAGAGCGCACTTGGAAAAAGTCTCAACTTTGTAATTTATTTCTGGAATTATGAATTTCTATGCTTTGTGGCAATAGACGCTTAGTTGACCTACAGCTTACATTTTCCACTCGGAAACTCTTGACTTCCATTGGTTGATGGATTATTTTAGTACGTTATTTTGTGGCTCTCCCAAGGGCGTTGCTACCACTGTATAAATAAGCCTGGTTTGTGTGCCTAGCAACCTCGTATTTTCTGGGTGCTTGTAGAATACATCCTCTACTCCTTATCAAGATTTCTTGCTTTTGTTAGCGGGGTCTGGGACAACCGGATGAGAATAGCTTATCGTATCACTGTGTCTTTGACCTTCGTCCCGTTTACCGAGTAAGGTGAACTCGTAATAGTTTCGAGCATATCAATTGGCAGACATATCAAACTCTAAATTAGAATTTTCTTTTGTGAGCATAATAAAAACTAAGTAAAACTAACAAGAGCTGGTGAAAGTTAAAATAAAACTGGAGTATGAAGCATTCATTGTTAAAGCTTAAGTTTTTAGCTGAAACATATACATAATGAAAGACTAGTGTTTTAGTATAAGGAAATGTAAATGAGATGAAAATTGTATCTTTTATCTGATATGTAGTTACGAATACATGACATAAATTTTAATCAGTAATTTTTTGATTTTTGGATTACTGAATAAACCATTAACATTCTGGATTAACAAGATATTATATCATTTGCATCTGTAACATGTTTACATGACATGCTAATTCGACATGCTAATCTGAGTTGCCTTTAATAGATAAGCAGCTCATTCACTTATGTAACAGTTTTCACAGTAAGTCACAAGCATTTTAAGCGGAGTTGGATGGTGGTTAGTAATGGAATCTAGGAAAAGTGTTCCGCTCAATATGAGACTCTTCCTCTGGATGTACTCGCACCTCAGAGTTAATGTTCGTTCCAATGTTTAAGTCGGTGGAAAAATCCAATCCATATATATATATATTAAAATCCACCCCATTGCACAAACCAGTGGCTATCTGGATTCACTCACTAAGTAGAACACTCAATAACGCTTGAAGTGTAGGAAACTTGGTCCGGGTCTGGAAGTGGACATCAACTCTGCGATGCAGACACATACGACCAACAAGTCTCACTAGGACGAAAATCGCGTCCTGTATTCCACTTCTAGTTACTATACATCTCTACTGAAATACCGTGTTACGTTCATGAAATAATTAATAAGTTTTAAAGATCATCACTCACCTTACATATGTCAAGTACTTCTTGAATGGTTAAGTTAGGATTTTTATAAGCTCCATTTAATACTAGAGTCTGTAAGAAAGAAACAAACATTGAAGTTGAAATAAACACAATCAAATACTTAAACTATAACAAGAGATTGTCTAAAAGAGATAATCCAAGCTTATTAATAACATTTGTTTTAATTGTTGTCTCTTAATGATACAAACAACAGAAGAGTGAACGAATGTTCTATCAGAGTTAGAAACAAAAGAACCAATTTCATTCGTGTTCTTACATTGTTTTACGTGAATGAGTTTGTATGAAATTTTGATTTGCTATTTTATTTTATCTTCTTGATTCTTTTAGTCACAAAGCTTTCTATCCATTTCTTATCTTCAAACCGAAATTTCAGATTAGGTTCGTATGTAAGAAGTGTTCATATCAGTATCAGAATCAGATAACTACGCTAAGATAACAGTGTGATTTGTAGGCATTTCGTTGAAAACAGTATCTCATAAACTTGTTTGTTTTTCTTCACAGACAAAATGTGTAACGCATATGATTGTACTAGCTTCTCCATCCTTTTATATACATAACATTTTTACAAATGAGTACGAAGTGCATCATAGCTTACTGTGAGACAAGTAAGAACATTCCACATTAATAGGAAATCTAGTTTTGCCAGAATACTCGAATTACACAATGTATTCATGTTTGCACAATATACTGATTTAATTGTGTAGTCGTATTTTCACAATGTTCAATGTTCAAATGTTCAGTCTATCGTCAACTATCCTGAGAAATTTAACTTTACTCTTACTTCCGTTCTATTGATTCACGCTTCTTTCTCTTTGAAACAATATATTTAAAAAACTTTTAATTATAGGTTTAGAAATTATCAGATTTTAGTAATTAAGGTTCATTCAATCATTCTTTGTAGGCGTATGAACTTATTGAAATAGCTGCTTAATTATCCACCTACTCTCAAATGTTGATTACACTCCTTAGTTGTGATCGACAATGAAATTCGATAGGTTGCTTATAAGACTTGTCAGTTGTTTCTAGCTTCAATGATGATTTAATCAGTATTTGAAGTATATACTCATATTCTCAAATAAAAGAGATTTGCAGATTAGTATAATGAGTTATGGTGATCATCCTATTGTTCAACTAAAGGAAAACTTATTTTGGAGCATCATATTTGAGATGAAAGTTTTTATCAAGTGGTTTGTGTCAACACTATTAAACATCATCAAAACAAATAAAATCGATACATATATATCTAGATATAAATAAACCATAAACTTCTTAAAATAAAATTACGATAAATTATTCTACAAATCTTTGCTGACACACATACACACATTTGCTAGCTACTTGTATTTTCCTCTTTATTTCTATAACTTGTCTTAGCTTATTTGATTACATTTCGTATCAATTTCCTTTTTTTCGCACTAGCTCCAAGAAACCAAAAACGTAGCTGTTGGTTAGAGAATTGTAATTTCTGTATAACACAATCCAGCGTTTTTGAAAATTTTCTTTTTTTAAATATCATGAAAAGTGTCAAAAAGTCTATAGTGTTCAATGGTCAACAGTATGGCCACTAATCAAGAGTTCATTTATTTACTCCTGATTTGAAATGAAATATCTTTTTCTGTTTTAGCCGACAGAATATTGACAAAAGTATAACTTTAATTATTTTATATTTCTATATTCTCCGTACTGTAAAGTCAACAATCACTCATTGTTAGACCACCATTAGAAACCTGGAAGCACTGGACGGCCGTTTCGTCCTGGTATGGGACTCATCAGCAGTGCGCACCGACGACTCCTGCACCTCGTAGGAAATGAACCCGGGACCTTCGGTATTGTGCTGATGAGTCCCATACCAGGACGAAACGGCCGTACAGTGCTTCCAGGTTTCTAATGGTGGTCTAACAATGATTAATTGATGATTTCAAATGTATAAAAACACAAACCTCCAAAACTCTGCCCGAAAAGACCTATAAAGTGTTTATATACGATTCATTGTTTCTTAATCATGGAGAATCAATCAATAATTTTTTTCTCCAGTTTCGTCCACTTTGGCGTAGTTATATACACTCTATAGTATCAGGTTGATTTCGATGCCGTAATCAAGAAATTAAGCTATATTATTGTATGAAATGATTTATATAAAATATATTGATGCACTACTGCTTTCTTTGTTCTGTTGCCTGACGAAAAACTGTTAGTATTTATCGGGAAAGTTTAAGTATCAGGACAACTTTGAGCTGTCCTCAAAATCATTTTGTGAAACCTCAACCATTCGTTTTGTTTAAAATAGTGCTGAAAATCAGCATAAGAAATCAAGGTTGCGGTTTTCAACATGATCTGTGATCAGCTATTATGCAAGAATCCTATATAGCCATATGGATGAATGAATTTTGTCGAGAGATTTCAGTACCATTATCTGAAATCTGATTGACTCGTCCCTACACTTTAGTTCCAGTGATTATTTCTAGCTCAATTCAAAAATTAACTTGGTGAATAAAACTATATGATTCGTCAAGACTTCAGACACTGGGTAAAGAACAAAATAGCATAGGCAGGGTAGAACAATAGCGTAGGACTTTGATCAACGAACCTTTCTAATTATTGATTTTCATTGCAGTTACGACACAAGTTACTGAAAACTCATTGATTCAGGTTTCCAAGCATTCAGCCCCTTGACTCAACTTCATAAGACTCTAAGTGAGGGTACTTATTAAACTATGTTTCTGTTATCTAACTTAATCTCATTCGGTTATTATTACCTATGATGTGTGAAATGTACTGGGAATTCTCATATCTGTATATTATGTACAATCACAATCATCAAAGGGTTCTAGTTGATTTCGACTGGTCACTTTTACTTTGAAACACAACCTTTCTACTGTCTAGTTAGAACTTCATTTATCAGAATGATCGAAATTCATTGTTTGGGAAAATCTATTCGAAATTCAAATGCACCTTTGTTTATTCACATTCCACGATGATAATAAAACAAATATGTCCATAGACCATAACAATATCCAATCCTAATATAGATGACAGTTAATAATTTAAGAAATACTCTTAAACTAAGAAGTAGTCAACAAGCTTAAAATATGTGTAAAAGTAAAGGTGAGATTGTTTTATTCTTCACAATAATGTAAAAAAATACGTTAATATTCTCTAAGACTCAATATTTCTTAAATATTTTAGATTATAATAGTAAAGTACGAGTGAGAAAATTAAATAAAGAAAACAAGTTTCACTTACAAATACATCAAATTTTGAAAATATATTCACTAAACGACGGTTAGTGATTGAATCTACAACCGGTAAAGCAGTTACATAATTCTCTTGGAATAATAAAAGTGCATCAGCTAAACGAGTAGATGGTTTAACCAATAAAACCGATCCATGCGTTCCAATCTTTAGATCTGTTAGACTTGACTAAAATTAAATGAGAAGCAAAATATAGTACAAAATTTATATAGGTGGTTTTCAAAAAAAAAATGTTACACATGATACAGTAATCGGAGGGGTTAACATGAGAAGATATTCAAGAAATGTGATTCAGTGAGAAAAGTTTAAAAAGTCAAAACTAGAGGGGTTGAAGAATCCAGAAGATTAGGATTTGAGAGAACACAAAGAATAAATGAACATGCACCATTGCAAACGGTTTTGAGCCATGACATTCAGGGTATCTAACCATCGATTATTATCATCTCGCGGAACCCAACCAGGTAGTCGACAACTACCGACATGACTCAGTCCCCTTGTCAATGACTTCATAGATTTCTGCCATGTTTTGGTTTGGCCGCCCCTAGCTTTCTTCCAACCTATTCCTACACTACAAAACAAAGCTCGAGAGGCATACGCAGCATATGTCCCAACCACCTCAACTGATGAAGTTTCACCACTTCATCTATTGATCTGCCATTCTTACCTAGTACCCGATTCCTAATAACAGCGTTGCTCACTCGGGTGTCCCACGATATACGAGCAATGCTTCGAAGACACCTATTATCGAAAACCAATAACCGACGAATATCTTCTACTCTCATTGGCCATGTTTCACAGCCATAAAGTAAGACGGAGCAAACTACTGCACAGTACACTCGTCCTTTAGTCAGCAAACGGATATCTCGCCTACGCCATAAGTGACGCAGGTTGCCAAAAGCCAATCGAGCTTTCTGTATCCATGTTGAGATTTCGTCAGTCACCAGGCCACCAGCACTGATGAGACTCCCAAGATAAGTGAAACGGTCTACACGTTCGACTACTTCATTCCCTATCACTAGTTCAGGTGCTGATGCAGCCCAATCTTGAAGCAAAATTTTGCATTTCGAGGGGGAAAACCGCATCGCGAACATGCTTGCATTGTTGCTTAGGGTGGTCAGAAGACTCTGCATTTTGTCAGCGTCTTCACCAAGCAAGACAATGTCATCGGCATAGGTCTACTTCTGAAAATTCAGATGAGGATAAGGTTATTTCTAGGAGCATGTCTATGATAAAATTAAATAAGAATGGAGAAAGTGGACAGGCCTGACGGACACCACTTGAAGTAAAGAATTCCGTTGACAGTTCGCCATAAGCTCTCACTCGACCAGTGGTGTTCGAGTAGAGAGCTTGTATGAGGTTAATATACTTCTTTGGTACACCTCTCAATGACAGACACTGCCACAGAACCTCACGATCCACAGAGTCAAATGCCGCCTTAAGGTCCAGGAATTCAACTATTGTAGGACGCCTAAATGTGTGTCTGTGTTCTAGGACCTGTCGTAGTGTGAAGATGTGGTCTATACAACCACGTCCAGGTCTCATACCAGCCTGGTTTTCTCGAGTTTGCTCTTCACGAGCTTTCGTTAAACATATGTTCCAGCCAGTATACCTGGGTTTGGTCATCACGATAGGCAAGCCCGACCACCACGTCAAGGTAGCAGTTACGGTCGGGCTTAAAATGATGAGAAATCTTTAATATTTCTCAAACCATTTAGATCTATGCAAGAGAGCAATTAATCAGTGGCTATCAAAACTTTTGAAGAACTTAACATGCATTCAATTGGTAACTTCAACTAGTTTTTCATAAAAATGTATCATAAATTACTTAAAGGAAATATAAGTCTCCCGACTTGGTTTATAGTCAAAAATTCAGTGATTGTATGAATGGATATCATTCTTAATTTGTCCACCTCTTGCTCTTCTTACATAAGAGTATGTTAATCACTATTAAAATTTATTTCAGTGTTGAATAAACTTGCTATTTAAAATTTAAAACAATTGTGAAGTTAATAGATTTATGTACTACTATACAAACACTTTTTTCAGATGTATTGAATAGAAGAATACTAATTTTTTTTAAATTGACAAGCCATAAACTTAGATAAAAGTAGAAATTTACTTCAAATTTATGATTATCATGAAGATAGAAAAATTAAAGATTAATTGTTTACAGTCAAAGTTATCAGAATTAATGCAGGTGAACAAATTAAAGATTTCAAATAGATTCTTTGAACCGTAAGCTGTAATAGGTAGCTTGGATTATCTAACACAATATTACATCCTGTTAAGCTATATCAATATGAAACCTTTTCTTTACCGTTAGCCTAAACTGCTTCCATATTGTCCAACTTGATCAAATGTGCGTGAAAAATATACATTAAATCATCATGCATTTACAGTCAATATATAACATCACTCTACCACACTTATACGTAGTTCTACTTAATTGCGACTGACCTACATAAAATGTGATTGGTATGTTTCATCTGTATGCATGTTACACTAACAAAATCATATGACATATTCTTTTTACTGTTTAAAAGTTTATTACTTTGTGTAGATCATTGTTGAGTGTGAAAGAAACGGTTTTCTCAAAAGAAGAAAATATCTTGCAGTAATTTTCGAATTTCGTTACATAAATATTACTATATGTCATCTTTTTTATGAGGTGAACAGTAAATACGTTACTTTAACTTTTTTTACATAGATCAAAGTAGAATAGTAACAAATTTTTTAAGTTGTCAGTGATAAGCCTACATTTGATTTTGTGATGATGAAAACATTTATTTTACAGAGAGATAAAACAGTAAGCCATATGCTTTTTAATCCGTATGCCTTATCTTCTGAAATTCATTTTAAAATTAAGCGACAATAAGAAATGAGATTTACATGATGTTAATTAACTACTGATTAAATAATCCCTGAACTAGATTCATAAATTTTCGATATTAATCAATGATGTTAATATCTGAGACTGCTCAAATACGAACCGAATATATTACACTTTAGAGTTTCATTCAATAATTTTCAGCTCATTAGAATTTATGCTTCATTACTGTAATTAAACTGTAATTAATTTAAAAATTGATGTCAAAAATAACAACTTACTTGTAAAAATCTTGGTTGAGGTAATTTATGTAATTTTTCAAATAGATACGTCAATAATTTACGTTGAGTAAGTACGTACAATATATTACCGCATCCATCGAAAGGTGAATCCATGATTGGCAAATGATGCAGTCGGAATCTCAGCAATAATCGTAATGCTTTAAAAATCGATTCTTCCGGATCACAGACAAACAAACGTGCAGGAAAAATATTCTGTACCGATTTATTCAGAAACGATGTTTGATTGTTTGAAGTGTTATCACTATGAATTCGTATTTTCATATCGCTATTATTGTTCTCATTGTTAATGTTTGGTGAACATTTCACTGTATTGTCAGTCAAATGTTGATTTGATGATAATTGTATTACCGGAAGGTCTTGGCATGATGTCATACTGAATCGACTGTTGCTACTACTACTACTACTACTACTGCTTGTACTACTATCACTTGCACTATTATTGTTACTGTCGCTATCACTATCACTATCACTGTTACTGGATGATGATGAATGTGAACTTGATGATGATGATGATGTGTTGTTGGATGGGGGCCAAGATGTTGTGTGTGATTTGTTCATTGATTTACTGACATTTTTATTAGCAGACGAGGTAATTTGTAATGATAAACGATGTGTTCTGTCAGCGATAAGCATATCTAAAAATTTATTGTTTTGAAAAAATATTTATATATATACATTGGTTGATTTGAATATTTTCATTTATCATATCCACTAAAACACTTTAATATTATTTTAAAAGATATGTACTACTTGTTAACTAAGGTAATTTTTTTCAGAATCGTTTGCTTTTAGAATATCTTAACCACGTCAGTTGCTTATAATCTTGTTTCTTTGGTGTACGGAATTAGGTATGAAAAAAATAACATTTACCTTTCTTTATAAACCTCTGTATTTATCATTTGGAAATATTGTTCAAATGATCAGATTTGTGATCACTGAGTAGATTGGATTTTTTTTCCTGATTACGTATGATGATGACATATTTGGATTGTCTAATCATTTAGTAATTTTTATCATACTTGCTTAAGTACTAGTTGACGTTAGTTGGACACACTGTCAGTCTAAATCAGAGTGCTATTTGAATTTTGTGCTGATAATGTTGTTTAAAAGCATAATGAAAGTTTGATGACTAAATCATCCAGCTGAGAGAACGAAATGTCATCAAAATCACTCACTTGAGCCAAAAATCACAAGTAGGCATTCCATAAACATGAGTTTCAGCAAATATAAATGATTAAAAATTGAAATAAAACAATTTTTTGTAACTAGATTGTTTTAGTTGAAAGTAAAGAATCAAAATGCATTTATTTTTTTTAAACAACGTGATCTATAATAATCATTATTGTTGGAAATTCTTCTTCCCTGATTCGTGTGACAAATCAAACAAAATAGTTTTTATTAATGCCTGACAATTTTATGCCAATCTCTTGATGAATTGAAATTGGAGTTTGCAAAAGTCTGAGTTTTTATATATGATAACTGCAAAAAAATCGAGTGGCTTTATAAAAATAATGGACAAGTGGTAGACTATTTGATTTAATAAGCCTATGAATTTATAATATATTCATCATTTCATTTAACTGTCAATGTATTTAACAAAAATTGAATATTTCCATTCACTTAAATTTATCTACATGTGCTCTGCTGATACTTTTTCTGGCTCTTTATCAGCAGATAAATATTATTTTTTTTAAATTACAGAGTTTCTCATTCATTGTATCATTGTCATCTCTACTAAATACAAACAAGTAAGGGAACAAATGAATTCAAAGTTATAAAACGGCTTCGAATTGTGCTGATCAAACGAATATCTAGAATCTAAGTTACTTTACTTAGGTAAACATCGAATCGAAGAAAATTATGCTTCACTAGAAAGAATATATATATATATATATATATATTCTTTGCATCACGTTACACTACCCGATTAGAACTAAACGGGAGTAAATTTCACAAGAAATAACACAACATTCTGTTTGTCTGTCTATCTATCTCACTCTTAATTCATATACAAGGTTTAGTGTAACGTGATACAAATAATCATTCTGACACGATTTGTTTACTTCAACTGTAATCCACTTAAATTATCTGAAGTTGTGTTGTTTATTCACGAATATTATTTCCAATGGATTTTAAATCCCATTTTCAGAGGCAAACAAAATCTCTTATACAACTCGTGAGTTTTAAATGGTTTATTGTTTAAATTAGGAAAGGAAATTCTTGTACATTATTCAGTTGGAAAAAAGTTTATTTTGTGAAACGATTTTAACTAGAAAAGTATTGTCAATGAATGGGATCCCATAAAATTGCGAGATACCATTCAGTGAGATATTGAACTTCGGTTCTCGCGGTGAGCACGGGAACGGTTTAAACATTTAGCTGCCTTAAAGTTCCAACTTCATATCAGCCTAGTTTGGAGTTGATTCATCAAACCAAAATGACAATCATTCAAACCACGGAGGACTTGTAAAAGTGTCTTTCACAGAAATATGTTGTCAAAAAACAATGAATTATTTCAAGTGTCGGTTAGAACAAGTACATAAAACGGTCATTAGAATGGTGACGCTTTAAATAAAATGTTGAATAAATTTATTATTTATAAAGTTGGGCAAGTACTATTTTGGTTTTACAAGCCAAGTCGTATCCCAGGCAAACGAATACTGAGAAAAACAATTTATTTTTCACAGGGAACAACAATCTGTCCTTATTTAAATGTTAAAAAAGTGTAACTAAAGCCATATATTTATAAAACTTCGTAAAAAGTCAGTTATATCATAATTTGTGCATTAAGAAGCATGACTTTGAAATCACGTTTATCACATGTGAATACAGTAAAAGCCATTCAGCTATAGAATGGTGAAAACTACTTCTTTGCGAACAAAACCTTTGTTATACATAAATAAACATGTTTTCAATACTAAGTGTTCATAAAAGAGCTTAACACAATGATTACTATCACATGATTTGAATAATTTATTTTTAAATACTAAAATGAAAATTCATTTATTTTCTATAAACAATAAACTTAACAGAATATTAACAAGGTACCAGCAACAAGTATGTTGTGTTAAACACAATAACTTTCACAAAATAATGTTCATTACAATTACAGGTCGTACTGGAGAGCTAGTTCTTATTAAGTGTGAAGGTTAACAGTAGTAAACATCATCAGTCCTTTCAAAAAAATGATAATCAGTTAACAATAATCAAACCGTAATCACTAAACGACTTTAAAAATCTTTCATTACACGATGAAATCATGTTGGGTAACAAACGATACAGAAAGTTATGACTATTGTTGGATAGCATCAATTGATCTATTGTTCACAATGTTATCACCAAATGTACAGCAATATCTAAGCAATTGAATCTAAACACTTTTCCATATTTAGTTCAAACTGATTTATGACAAACAAAATATTTCATTGAATACTAACTAACTAATTTACCTTTCCATTTTTGTATTGTAATTTGATCAACATCATCAATTTGTATATTTTTCAATTCATCAATATTCGATGGTACTGTTTGATTCCAACAATAATTTAACATTTGTACAAAATCAGTTACAGTAAGCATTGAAATGAAAGTTTGATTTTCGGAATTCCATACTGGAGCAGCGCGTATCCCATTGTAAATAAGTGCCTTAAATGCTTTGCCTATCTAATAAACATAAAAAAAAGTTGAATAGATAATCAAATTAATTAAAGGATATTATTTTGATAAATGAAGTTTTTTTGTTTGTTTACCGATCCTCTAATAAAATGTTTGGTTACTGGCAACAGTTTATACCAAATTTGGATATAAACATAAAATTCTGTAGGAGCAAGATGGAGACATAAATAATCAGAAAATGCGAATTGTTCAAAATAGCAAGCGCAAATATAATAATAGATTTTATCGTCTCATTGTTCTAACAAAATTTATATCACGAACCAACTGCTTTCAACAAGCCTGACTGTTAACAAATAAAACGCTTATATTGAATAGTATTGTGCTTACTACAAAGACCAGAAGTTCGATACCGCTCCAGATAATATCAGTTAAGAATCGAAGTGAGTTTAACGTGCGAAAAATTGCAGCAAAGAAAACCTAGCAGATTGTTTTTTGTTGGGGCAAGCATGACTGTAGTAAGTAGTTAGATATATCCAAAAAACAATTAAACCAGGTACTATAAGTGCCTGGTACAGTCTCTTCTTAACCCAAGCACACAACTTGAATAGATTTTCGCAGCATACTCTATCACGTAACTGGTGTTTTCACATTTTCATCATGTATTGTTTTTAGTATATTTACTAAAAAATCTATCTTTCCTTCTCTAAGTTAATTCATTGTACTGTTGTAAATAAATATTTGATGGGATGATTGTCAACAGGTTAATATGTATCCACATATGCTTCATTTAATCATTCGTTCGAGTAGAAAAATTAGATTTATTTTCTAATAGAATCAAATACACCTGCCTGTCTATTTCATTTGATTATCATAAATAAAACTGAATGTTTCAGGTGTACAAGCTGTTTAATTCTATGATCTCATGTATTTCTAACCTTGCAAGTGTGTTAACAGTATTTTTGATTCTAGATGCTTAATCTGAATAGAATGTTGAATAACTGTAATAATCTAATTATGAACTATTATAAAAAGTTTAGAGATTATTACTTAGTGTGAAATATTTGAAAATCTATTCAGCTGAATATGAGTGACAGTTAGTAAATATTATTGAAATAAATTTATTGTGATATTTTTAAATTGTGTTGTGAAAATTATCTATTATGTACAAACAACTAGCTAAAAATCATTGGTTGTTTCATTGGATTATCTGGTTCGCTAACAATTTACATCCACAATTCTGACACACAATCACACTCGGTGCCATCGAGTACGATGATCGTTATTCATTGAGTGTTGATGTAATAGGTCATATTTGCAGAAATGGCTTAATTATAGAACACCTTGTGAACATAGGTCATTTGAACAAAACGAAATGTGCGTTCAGAGTAATCTAAAAGTAAGAAAGCTTTTGAAGGCAGTAGGCCGGCGTCTTCTTAGCATTGTCAAAGCATTTGCTGTACATCTGGGAAAATCAGAACTGTGTGAACAGAAGAAACTGATACAATGGCTACTTCTGCCATGGTCTTAATCTCTCTCTCTTTCATAGCCGTCTGTTTTTTTTATCTATCGAACTTTTAACCCTAAATGATTTGCTTTTGTTTCGATGATTTCACGGATTATATTTCATATCAATTCGAACATTTTATCTTATCACTCTGGGCGTTCTCTTTCCGTTTATAATTTCTTTATCAATTTTTACGATACTTATTCAAATTATCATCGACAGCACTTATCGAAACACTGTTTAAATGCCTTTATCAAGTTTACCTCATGATTTCCATGTTTAGCAAAATTTTTATTATTACTATTATTGTAATTATTAACAAGCGAGAAATATATGTATATTCAATGATAAAGTCTTGAAAATGAATTCGCCGAAAAGCGAACTCTTCTTTAAACCAGTCCTTATTGTTTTCAATTTTTATCAACTTTTGAATTAATGTGATTCTGTCTCAGTGTTGTCGGTGATTCCCTGTTTGATTGGTAATTATCCTATTTCCACAGTTCATTGTAGTATTGAGAAAATTCTTGCTTGTCGATTTTCTGAAGTCTAACCTTACTGAAATAGATCCGGCAACTGGAGGCAAACATCAAAATTATGAATAGCATTTCAGAATAAGTGGAAAAAAAGACTGAGCTGGTCAGAGAATCCTGGTCGGTAGTCTTTGCCCCACGAGGGGTGACAAGCGTAAGGAAGTAAATAAGTAACCTTACTAGAAATATTTGACAAACTATACTTAAATACGCATATAAATAGTAGTCCAGTATAATAACTGTCGCTTATGTAATAAATAAGGAAATACGCTTTTTAAAATCAAACACAGAAATGTTATTTACAGTAAGAGAAAAAGTTGAGAAATATTATCTCGAACATGTGTCTTGAAACCAAACATTCCAAACAATGTAATCACATGTTGCGTTTCCACGATATTATTATCAAAACAAGTAAAGTTGTATCGAATATCATGAAAATGAGACAAGTAAAGGGTAGAGTATCATTATATGCTTTAGCCACCCCACCGTTTTTATATACAAAGAAGGACTAAATTTTTCTTTATCCAGATTCTTCATGAATACGTCAAATAAAACACACAAATCGGTAGCACGTTTACGTTAACATTATTTCGATTACGAAACAAGGAAGTTGCAGTTTTTCCTTTGAGAATATATACCACCTGTGACTGTTCCAATAATCAAACTTTTGTGCTGATTATAATTTCCCAAATTTGAATAACATAATGATTTTTTCACAAAGACAAACAAATGTTTCTGTGATATTTTTTGACGACTGACTACTATACACTTCATACGCAATGTTATCACGTTTTTACCTTCAGCTGCTGACAATCGATAAGTTGAAAACATCTGACTTAAGATACTGGACTGTATAGTCAAATGCATATGATTCTTTTACTTCATTACCAAAACTAATTAGAATATATATTGTAGATTAAACGTTAAAAACATCAAAAGTTTTATAATTCACATATTATTATTTTAGAAAGTAAATAATCAGTTATAGACTTTATTCTTCTCATAGAAAAGAAAACTTTGTTTTAGAATAAACAGAGTGCAGCAAATTCCCAGATATGTGAATTGTCTTATGTGGGATTTGTCGTTGAGATGTTATACAAAAGGAAGCTGAGTCCACATAGCCACCAATTTTATTCAATTGGTATGATGTTTATATCACTAATGGTAACATTCTAGATCATTTTTTGTTAAGACTCAAGATAAATCCAAAGAAAGAGTGATACGCATTTCAGTCTGTTGGTTAAGAACAATAATCTAAATAATGAGAGTGGTCTATATGATGGAATAGTTTCAGTTTTAGAGTCATTAGAAGCTGCATAAACTGGGCAGTTTGTTCTATTTCCAATTTCAAACTTACTCAAATTCTCATCCTGACTCCATGAAGAATTTTCTACGGGTAGGTGAAAATCTGTCTAACCTAAGAACTGATAGGTTTCAGCAGTATAGTGTATTACCATCAATATAACATATTGGTTAGAATGAAATAATTACACCAGTGTGTATTATGTATTGTGTAAAAAAGAAGTGACAATGCGATTTCCTTGGCGAAAACAAACAGCCCAGGATATTTTAATGACAATATAAAGAACTAAAGAATACCGACCAATCTTTTCGAATGGTCGACTTCTATTTATATCAATTGGCGTAGAGCTTCTAGTTTAAACTAAATTACCAAGGTTACAGTGATAAAGTGTGGTATATTTTGGTAAAATGTAATAGTCACATGATTACTGCCTACCATTACCCAAAAGTACTAGTTTTTTCTTCAGATTACAAATAGTCACTGATATTTCCTCAATGCATAGATTTGTATAGTTATTTTGCATTCTTTAAGTGTTAATAATGCATACTGGTCGGCGGCCTATGCTCCATTGGGGATAACAGGCGTAAGTAAGGTAAGTGTTAATAAGGTACAAACACAATACAAACCAAAGTGATCATAGCTACGAAGTTGTGACTATAATTAATCTTTGCAGTTATAATGAATTATGAATGCACAAACTACTATTAATTAATAACATATTATAGAGAAAACCAACTTACAGTTAACTGGCTATCCAACAAAATAAGTTTAGCACTATCGGGAACCAGATCGTAACAAGGTGTATGTTGAAATAATATAGCATAAGTTTCCGATTCACCTTTAAATAAGAATTTTTTTAAAGACAGGAAAACACTTTTTAATCGTAGAATAATTTATCGATAAGCAAATAAAAGTATCTTCAATAGAATGAAAATAACTCAACATAAATAGACATGAGATTTCATTAGAATAGTTAAAGTCTATCTGATGTCATTAAAATAAAGGAGACAACTATGTTCTTTTGTGATGTGAACACTTCATTCGATAATATGTTCCTAATTGGAACTAAAAGCTGGAAGGATTAAAAGACCGATTTATGCTAGTAGCGAAGTTCATCCACAACACCAAAGACGGGAATCGAGCCCAGGATCCAATGTCCTGGGTTTATTTGGAAATTCGAGCTCATAATTTAAGGTGAGATCACGGATTTTGAGGTCGAAAATGAATATTTATCTATAGTCAGAAGTGGAAAAACTTGGATAAAAGTAAAATATAATCGATCATTAACTTCAAAAAAAGTTTACTGATTAGCATTATCAATTATTATTGAATCTAACGTTGTCCTGAAACATTGTAATTTATCAAAACAAGTATGATCGAATTGGCTTCAAAGTGGAACTCCTTTTTGGAAAAAACACTAAACTATATTTTTTAACTACATAAATTAAACACCAATAATCAGTTTAATATGTTCGAAATATATATATCTATCTATATATTCGCTTTTTTTCCTTTCAACCCGCTTTAAATGAAGAAAACAAACAAATATTTGCTTCTATTTACACTGAAAAAGTTGTCCAAAAACCTGGTAGATAGAACAAAACACTTCAAAGATTGAGATTATGATCATTTGATAATGTTTATTTTCCTATTTGTTAGTAAAATACTCATCTAGCAAAATCAATCAATCATTCAGTTCAATGATTATCAGGAAGAAACATTTGGCCTCAAAAAATAATACAGAAATATCATTTATATGATACATCTAATTTGCATAATCAATAATTTCTTACCCATTCCTGTTCCATGTGTTTCCATATATTGCTTAGCTGACTATAAATTGTTGGTTGTGTACGTTTGTTAGTAGATCCAAACATGAAAATATTGCGGGTTTGAAAGCAGGTGCATTTTTGCACAAATATATATTATCATAAAATGGGCAATCGTATTTTGAATATCAAACATATGAATAAAAGAAAAAAGGAACATGTATGTTACAAAAAGGAAGTTATGATGAAAGTTTGTTACATGTCACGATCAGACAAATAAATTTCCTAATTATTATTTAAAAAACTAAAATTACAAACTGACCTATATCGGACAATCATTTAAAAAATGCAACCGCTGAAAAACTGTTTTGTCCTAAATACTGTTAGTTATCATGTACTGACGAGTGAGTAACTTCAAGAGGAAATGACAAGAATTTTATTAAGAAGCTGTAACTATTGGGGTTTAGTCCTGTCAGGTACCCACTGAAGGAGGCACAAGATAGCGTTCAGTATTGGTGATCGATTAAACCTAGATGTATTCACTGTTGAGTCCAGGTTCAGTGATCAAGGGTTAAGTGCTTTAGCACAATACCGTTAGTCCTGTATACGTTTCCCGTGCTGAGGTCATGGATGCACACTGCTGGGGAGTCACATACTAGGACTTAACAGAAGTTCAGTCGTTATCTAGCTGGGGTAGGCTGATGAAATTAACAACGTTTATTATTATCCATGAGTCCAGTACCTTTATTTTGTAATAAATAACATCTAAATGAACTATAAAAATTTTGATTCATTTGCTCAGCCAGTCGACTGGCACTGGATTGTATTAACATTCAGCGTGCACAACATTAGTCAGCATATTGCAATGAATACTGAAGATAAGCAAAGTCTTCGGAATGATGAATATTTACGAAACTTTCTGTGACGAACAAAATATAAAGTGAATTAATGTTGCACTGTGTAATTCTATTAGTACAGCAAATGTTTATCATCCATACTTTGTTGATTTCATTATGAATAAAGTCTGTCTAATGTTAAATAAAGGTTGAAAAAAAATCCTTGAACTTAGAAAACACATGAATCATCAATGAGATCATAAAACATTTGGTGAATCCTAAGTGAATAGATCTAAATGAATGATCAGATTCTCATTCAATACAGATACCGGTTATTATTTCATGTAAAATAATAACTCATAACAATTATGCATGAATAGATTTTTTTTACCTGAACAGACTATTTTTCTGTTGTTTTAAAAACGATTGTTAGCTAAAACAACTACTAAAGAAGTAAAGAGATTATATGAATTGACAATCTTATCACAAAAATTTGCCCAAATAGCTTGGTAAATTCGTCGCCATCAACAAAAGGAGGTTAATACACATAAGTCATCGTAGATTTTAAAACGGATGCACTATCTCTGAGATAATAGGAGAAAATCAGCTAATTATTCCAAACACCACATAATGTAAATTAATTATTTTATTACTAAAGAATGAAATTCCAATTCCTACGTGAAACATACTCACTATAGACTAACATTTATTATACATTAGCCATATCTTAGGCTTCACTACATCTACTTCAATTTCACTTCATAATTAACAACAAGCATAACTTTTCAGTGATTGATTTTTAATGTATTAAGGTTATATAAGTATATTAATATAAAATAGATTGACTGATTGATTAAAATGACAGACGAATAGGTTTTTGTACAACTTACTCATATTTAAAATGATTTAATTTATTATAATTAATAATTAAGGATGAAATAAAATCAAAATAATTAATGTCATAAATATATTCCGGTCATTTGTTTTACAAAATGCTATCATATTTTTTTTATCGAAATGTCACAATGAGAAATATATATTATCAAAAAATAATTATGCATTATTTTATGAAAGGAACAATCTAGAAAATGCCAGGTTGAAAAAATGCATCAAAGTTGGTCGAAAGGAAATATTCGTTTCTTTTTTTGAGCAATAAATAATAATTCAGTGATTATTCAATGTCCTAAATGTCAGATTTAACTTTCTTTTATGAAAATTAAAATGGAACTTGATCAACCAGCCGCTATCAATTTAAGATCAGGTATAAATGTACATTAATACCAACAGAGACTTTCTACGTAGATAGAAAGGCTTTTAAAATGTTAAACATGAGATTAAACCTAATATTAGTAAATTAAAACCAGGTATGAAATAAATGTTTATTGGGAAACGAACGAAATCAATGAGGATGGAAAGTATGCAACAATACATTTACCTATCAAAATATTGGTATTCTTATATGCGATAAACATTGAAATGGCACTTTGAAGTGTCACAAATATTAACATCTATCAATCTATAAATAAAGTGGATACGTTTTATTTGTTCATATTTTATAATTTGCTTTAAATTGATTTTCATACTTGTACAAAAATGTTATTAAGTTTTTTTCTTAAAAAATACCTATTTTAGAAGACAGTTATTGTATTATACAAATTATGAACTGATAATTAATACAACAGAAATAAGATCATTGTCGTTAACCAAGTAATTAGTTGGAGAAATTGTATTTCACACAGAGAAACTGTACTGTTACATAGTTTGACTTATTCAAGCTTATCCAACTGATGATTAGTATAAAACACAATTCAAATTTGTTGAATGCAATGTTATTTCAATAATTCTTGGAAAAATTCGATTCGCATCCAGTTCATAACTAGTCAAACGATTAACTAAAATTAGATTTATTTTCTAAACATTATTCAAATGAATCATTTTCATTCATTTTTTGTTTTGAATAGGACACTAATAATTAAGTTTTTTAAATATTTTATTGCAATACGCACTATGGTTTACAAATATATCCACAATTATTTTCATCTTAGATCAATAAAATTTATTGACAAGAACGATGAAGGAATAGAGAAATGCTCATCGTCTGTACTAGATGTAAGAAACATGGTTGAATATTTTAGGCTATGTAATGAATGAGTTGTAGTGATTTTAAAACTAATAATACATTTTATACTCAACATACATAAAAGAAAAAGCGAAATTTCCGATGCAACACAACATGCACCAACCAAATCAATCTTGATGGAGATGGTTTGGAGGACGTTAACACCTTTACATATCTGGGCAGCATCATCGACAATGAAGGTAGATACGATGTAGATGTGAGGGCGCGGATCGACAAAGTGAGGGCTGCATTTCTACAGTTGAAAAAACACCGTCAGCAACAACGTACTGTGGTAGAAAACAAACCAGATTGCAGTGGAGGAGGAAATCAGGAAGAAGCGGTGGAAGTGGATAGGACACACACTACAAAAAGCACCTAACTGCGCCACAAGACAAGCCCTCACTTCGAACCCTCAAGGCAAAAGAAAAAGAGGAAGGCCAAGGCACACATTACTCTGAGAAATAGAGAAAGATATGAGAAGAATGAACAAAAATTGGACAGAACTGGAAAGGGAAGCCCAGGACAGAATCGGTTGGAGAAAACTGGTGGGTGGCCTATGTTCCATTGGGGTAAGAAGTAAGTAGGTAAGTAATACATCTATACTGTGAGTAAGAACATTAGCCTTTGCTTTCTGTGCAAAATGTATAGTATACAAATGCTCATATGACCTTGAAAATAAGTAGAATGCAAATGTGTGAAAATTAGAATTGATCGATCAGTTGTTTTATGCATTCATTACATCACTATTCTTTTTTCGTTTCATTTGAATAATTTTATGGAACTGAGGGAAGAATTAAAATTGACAGTTTTAAGAAAACATAATACAACTTAATCTTCCTAATCCCTGACAACGCATTCCCGAGTTTTTTTGATAAGAAGCTCGTTTTTATGTCATTGCTATTGGAGAAAAAAGTTTGAATTTACTGCTGCATCGTATACATCATTAGGGAAATGTGTTGATGTAACAATTTTACCAACAGTTGTATTCTGAATAGACTGATTGTGGGACCGGTTCGTCGATCCCAGTATTGCAACTAGAATGCAATATCTTTTGTTTCAAATGCCAGCATGTTAGATGATAATTCAACCGTTATGATGTAAGGTGTCTGAGATCAGAATATTATACGCACTAACCCGCCAAACTGACTACTTGAGCAAGAAGGCTGTCTAAATTATCATTCAATCCAGATTGTCACTAACTGGTTCAATGAGTATGGTGTTGAAATCATTCGTGGTAAGAGTTTGGACACTCATTGTCGACATTCAGAAATGTAGTAGCATATATGCATCATGAGCATATTATTTCTGTAAGATCATACTCTTAGAGTCTATGAATGAATATCACGCGGGAATGCAGATGCATTCAGCCAGCACATCCAAAATAGAATAAAATATATCTCACAGACTCTGCTATTAGTTGCAATCTATCTATTCGAAAAACTACATAATGACGATTAACACAAATTATTATTATTACTGTTTCAGTGTTCATTATAAAATCTTTTGAATTTTCAACCCAATAAATAGTAAATATTTGGCTTTTTTACAACTATCCGTTTTAATGTGTGTTCTATTCATTAAACTAAAAACATGTTCCCGATTTCCGCTAGATGAAAAGCAACGTCGAAAAAAAAACAGAATGCATCTATTTCATTTTCTGCTTCTTCTTTTATTCATTGCATTATGATTGATGTATTGTTAAAATCAAGAAATAATATTGTATGAACTAAACTATGCTACGCCCACATTTTAATTGATAACAATAAAGTGTCTTTAATCTATGAAGAACGCATTAGTTTCCTTGTACAATTCAAACTAATTGAACCATGTGCAAATACAGAAAAATTCTTTGATTTAGTCTGAAAAGTACTAAAAAATTCAACATAGACATACATTTTCAATAACCAAATAATCTAATTATAAGAAATGGAATATGAATGTTATTTTACTACCGACATGACGTAAGCTGGTGATATATATATATATATATATATATATATAATATATATATATATATATGTATATATATAACATCAGATGGAAGATAAATAGAAGATTGTAGAGTCAGTAGAGATCTGAATTTCTTAATAAGGAATCAGCAGTTCCAATGTTAACCAAATATAACTTGTTGAAAAAAAGAATACCTCTGTAAGACATTTTCGTGGATTATAGCCAGTTAGTAAAATTAAAGCATAGATTTTTTCACATTGTATAATTGTAATGATTCAGTTCAGATTTCCCGATCTTTCCATTTTACCATATTAAAAAAATTATCTTATGTCTGTCGTAATGATCATTATAGGTGTTCAATGTAGACCAAAGTTTGTAATAAAATTATTCAACTCTAAGAATGAAACTTCATCAAATCATTGGGCATTTTCATTAAATATCATAAATTTTATGTCTTATTGTTTTGCTAAATTTTTTTAGATCGAATGAACACAGAAATGAACCAGACTATTCAGTTTTTGACTAAATAAACAATTTTCCATTGACTGACATTTATAAATAGTTAAAGCCAAAAAATGTAATATTAGGCCAGTGAGAGTACATAAAAAATAAACTTATTGAAAAGTCTATCTTAAGACAGGTTAATAAAATATTAGTTGCGTGAAAAGTTCATATTGGAGTTCAGCATTTTCATCAAAATGCAATGTATAGATTGTCAGAGACAACAGTTTAAAACAACCTTGAGTTTTGTTAGATTTCAGAATGCCTTATTCTAAACAATTAGTTTGGAATAATCTCATTTTATTAAATATGAGAGCGCTTATGAGTTCAACTGAAAAACCTAGCTGAACGACGGCAATAATCACGGTGTATTTCGATCCGAAATGTATATTGAATAAGAGATCATCTAGATATTAGATTTAGGTTTGGAAACTGTCGAGAATCCTACTGTTAACCAGTTAGCATTTGTTGATTACGGACAACTTAGTTTGTCATTACTATGCTGTTCAATAAGAGAAGAAGAAAGCAAAGCTGATTAGAATGTATGACATCGTAATGAGGAATGATGCAACAGTAAATTTAATGACAGAACTAATAGTCAGTAAAATAAATGGAAGATATATTTACAGTCCATCTACTTCTGAAACCTTAAGGTAAGCATAACCTGGACTGACTATAATCGAACATGTACTATTTTGTACAGTCTTACTGCTAGTCAATCTGTGTAAGAAACCATTATACGATTGACCGGGGACAATACGCATAAAAGCACTTACGGTCATTCTGAGATAATATTATTTCTGGACTTTTCATTTTATTGTTATGACGCAGGACTTGTTTCACTGACAATCGTTTACTTACACAATTATTTTTCAAACTAAAATAGTAAGCGATACTAATTGGAGACTGTTTTGTAAAAGCGTTTTAACTGATGGCCTTCCAAGGTACAAGTTAGCTGCAATACTAACGTGTAGAAAACAGCCTAAAATGCAAACATATGTTAATCATTTTAACTAATAAAATATTCGTAAGCAATAAACAGTACTGCATTTATTTTTCGCCTCAGCCATCCTATCGAAATGCTTGATTTACATTTATCAGGAGTTATGTTAAAGTTTATGTGAATCATTTATACACATGTCAGTGGTTATAATAAAACACACTACCAAACATGCAATTATAAATGATGTTTAAACAAAATCTAGTACCATTCTTACTGACAAAATTTGATAGATGCACATTTAACTGTCAACAATAGCAATTTACAATTGAATCAATAAATCCACTATAGACTGACAAAATAAAAGTCTGACTCAGTTGTCTATTAAAGTATATAATCATGAATATAATCTCAGACTTCAATGCACTGGAAATACTAATGACATAGCCATAATTCTTATAAACTAATCAGTTATTCAAGTATGTAGCAGTCACTCTAAACAAATAAAGTCCAACATGTTTCATTGTTTGGTAATGGATAAACTACGTAAGAGCTGGCAATAGTTGAATAAAAGTAACAAATGTTCCAATTTCTAAATCTCATGAACACTGTCAAATTCATTAGTCAATGAAATATCCCAGAGTCGTGTTGTTTAGTTAACCTCAATATTACTTGCAAAGCGATTTTAAAATTTATTGCTTTGAAAAACATATTTGACCAAATGCTAACAACCTGTGCATGCCTTTTAGCTTTAAAGGACATGTCTTATAGTTATAGACTGATAGAAAGCAAACTTTAGGAGAATCATTTTGATCTGCATATACACACGAATAAAATTATTGCCGGTGAGAAATCTGATTATCCATACGTTGAAACTCTAAGTTAAATTTTCAGTAGTAAACTCTTAAATGTTTTGCTCGATCTGATTATTTTATTATAAAACTATGTTTATGCTGCTCGAGCTTTATAACTTCATTAAAACTATAGTTTACATCTAACAGTATAAATAACTACATTTAAAAACTCCAGTTTATGACTGTCACAGGATTAAGACTTTTTATTCAACTGACTGCAACTAAAAACAGAAAGTATTTGCAGAGAATGAAGCTAAATAAAGTACTAAGTAAAAATTTACGAGATTGATCTTAAAAACAATAAAATTATAAATAATCAAAGTGACAAAAACTAACTCACCCAAAGTGGTAGAGACTTTGCAAACATTAAATATCGTCGACTTTCTACTACACGGGTCATTGTATGCGTTAAACCTCGGTTACGATGATAACGGCCATGATTACCATGACGATGATGATGATGATGGTGATGGTGATTATTATTATGATGGTGATGATGGTGATGGTGATGATGACTGTGATCGCCACTTTTCAATTGACTTTTCTCCGAAATTTCATTAGATCCTGTTACCAGAACACTGGAAGCTGAAGCAGCACTCGAATTATCCATGGTGTTATGAGCGGATGCTTTTATTCGTGGTTTATCCGTTCCACAGACAATATTCTCTTCCGACCGAGAGAAATGCTCCATTAAAAATTCTCTAGGTGGTTGAGGAGATATTGTCAAACTTTTTCGGTCGACTGTTCTCCCACTTAGACTTCCAGCTGTTGAGAGATCAAAAGAAACAAATAGATTCGTAAAACAAATTTGTGGATGACTACAAACTAATCATGGTCAATAATTTTATTTGAAGTTTACTTTATGAAACTTGTTTATCAACGTAAATTATTCCTAAGGTCAATGTCGAATTCTGTTACATTTCTTCCAATATTGTTCTCCTTTTTGTCTCATATATCTTACTCTTACCATTCGCTAATTTGATTTTTGACCTTAATTCTTTTTCTCATTGTCTTAACATGTTTAAAATAGATGATCCGATTAATTAGGATGCTTGCTGGGAATTATTCAAATTTCTCAAGTCAACTTTAACTCGGTATTAAACTAAAAACAAATCATTCAAAATCTTTTAAAATTATTACATGTTTAAGAACTAATCTTTTTTTGTTATGAATTAATCAAATTTATTTGTGAAATAAAATCGATAAATAGCCTGCTTAATATATGTCTAAAATAGTGGATCATAATTCAAAAGTAATTTAATGCATAATTCAATTACCGTTTCAGATTTATTTAAGAGACGATACAGATATTTCTTGTACCATGCATGAATGAATGTCATGACAGTTTTATCAATCAACTATTAACCAAGTGCATGCAAACGTCACTCTCGTCTGAAGCAGTTCTAACATAGAGAAATGTCTTCTCGATCTACTTGGTCTGTAATATAGACCAACATTTCTTGAAGCTTGAATGTCAAAAATTAACGCGGCTAGAATACAATGAGAAAACTCTGAGCGAATATTTCTTCCGCGGTAATTTGAAATCTAAACACGTTGAACAAACAATTTATCAGGGTTTCGCTTTTCAGGTTTAACTTATCTCATGTTGTAAAATGTAATAAAAAATTGATGAAACTGACTGCTCTCAACACACAACCATGAAACATTTCTATACAATAAGAATTCACTTTGTTTGATATTTTTTTTAACGTAAACTATTCCTTAACATGCAACATCTTTCATCTGACCATAAAAACTCCAAGTTTATTTAAACATGAACGATTTATAACTAATGGTTAGAAAATCAATTTAAAAATTACGATGAATGCAAAAGTACACAAGGTATAAATCTTCATAAAACAATTAATCATTCAGGTCTTAAAGCTGTACAACAAAAACTCATAAATTAAAAATAAAAAATTGAATTCTATATTACAAATCATACATTGAGAAATTTCATTTACGGATCATTAATTTGAAATCGTCTCTACAGAATGTGAAAAAACAAACAAACAATAAAGTTTGACATTGTGTCGAATCTTGCGATATTGTTTTAACATTAAAATTTTATTTATCATATTCTATTTGTTTGTTTAAATAAATGAAAACATATCCATTCTTCATCCAGAAATATGTAAATTCATTTAGAAAATCTCACATTCGGATAATTAATTATAGTTTATACGAAATGTTGACTTATAGACAAAGAAGACATATCTACTAATCGAGAAAGAAATTTTAGTGGAAAAAAATATCTATAATTTTTTCTTAATCACTGATACATAAATGGTAATTTAAAATAAAAGAATTTACCATCACATATGATACATTAAATGAAAATGTTAATTTCAATTCTGTTCTTACAGCTTCATAATGAAATCAAATTGGAAAGGTTAAATTTTACACATGATGTAAAATTATAATTCGCGTGACTAAATTAACGTGAATCTGAACAAGATTAGATCAACCAAACTGTTCGTTGAATGTAATGCCTATTATGAATTAAATGATTTCGGAAGTGATCAACCAAAAAAAACTAATTAAATTGTTAATGAATTTTTCTAATAAATTCGAAATTTGGAAAAAAATTGTTGGAGAATGAAATTTCCACGGAAGCACTGAGACACAAATGTTGTATAATTGCAAGAAAAAATTCTTTTTCTGCACGAAACTTAGCTGGAACTGTTAGTTCAGTAAGAACTAGCATTTTCCTGTTCACTTATTTTGTTTTATTTCATTTAGTTAACTGATATTTGAGCAATCAGTTAACAAACTGTCTGCGAACACTTCATTTCCATATATGTCTCAGGTTAAGTTACGTTCAAAACTGTAATATCAGTGATTTATTTAACAAGAGAAACTTTTCAGAGATCATAGTCAACGGTTAAGATTGATTAGATGAGAACAATGTCTACCATGTAACCACACCCTATGTTTCTCTTAGATATTTCACAGACATATAAATAAATATCGCTAGCAATAAATGCGTTATGAATATTTTGATAATCATTTCATAGTTTAACGTTAATTGCATGAGTTGACATTGTGTCAATAATGCTTTACAATAACAGTAATCTCATTACTGAACGAATATATTACAGAATACTCAATGAATAATGTACATAACTGCTTTAAACACTTGATTGTTTAATGGAAAATGAAAATTGGGCGTAAAGGTAAAAAAACATATTGAGGATATGAAATCACATAACATTCTTAATCGTAGGGTTGAAGACCTATGTAATTCTATTTCTGTATTGTATGATGACCATTCGACTATAAACATTTGGATGGTAAACTGAGTCATCAAAAATAAAATCGTTTAAGTTGACAAGCAAATAGCTTGGAAATGAACAAGCTTTTAAATGTCTACCAGTCAAATAGTAACGTTCGAAAACGAACTGGGTCAATAAATAGTAGTCTATGTTTAAAAATTATAAAATCGATGACATTATTCACGTAAAATGTAGTTTTGTTTGTTGAACAGTGGGAATATTACTTGCGTTACAGTACTAGGATAGTATACGGGATTTTTAAGGTTATTTAAAAGTGAAAAAGAAAGAACCTTATCATACGCCCCATTAAATTGTTTATTGTCACCGTCAATAATTTAATTTGCTTTTTAATAAAATCAACCGAGGAACATAAATAACTAATCAATAGACCAATCCAAGGTCATCAAATAACCATAACAGTAGGTTAGAATTATTTTACTTTATCGTATATAACATATATATATATATATATATATATATATATATATGCCGCGCCTAACATTCATTGTCAAATGTTAATTCACCAAAAAACTTAAACTGATAGCTAATTTAAATGAAGTTATCACGGTGAATGGTAGAGTAGTAGATTATAGTAACAGTATCAATGGTGACAGGACGGATTAAGCGTAAAAGGTAAATGAAATATGAATTGGCAAAAGATAAAACAATATTCATGAAGGAAGTTAAAAATTGACAATGGTACTTCCACCATTTTAGTTCGGTATATTTTATATAAGCATATCATAAGCAATCATTGTGACAAATTGAAAAGCACCAAAACGCAAACTGTTTAATTCCACAGATTCTGATATGGCTATTGATTTGCTGATCACACATCAAAAGAAATCCAAAATGTATAAAAGCGTTAAACAGTTCAAATTATTTATAGAAATATGAAAATCATCACTTATATCAGCTCTGTCCGTAAATGATTCAGTAAAACTACGTTCATTCCTATTTCAAAACTCTAAATCATCTACAGAGTCATTCTATCTTACAGTAAGTATACTGTAATCGCTTAAATCACATAAATAAACCTACTATTAATAAGACCGAAATGGAGATTAAAACACTGATTCTCCATTTAGTTTCGTTTAACGAATAAAAATTTTTTCTTGAATATGTAGAGCTCACTTATGAATTTATTATACTGTAATGAATATTTTCAAGTAATCTAGATGAATGCTGACTTATTTTAAATGGAAATGTTTGTTATTTTTTTAAGGAAACAAAATGACTCTTTCTAATCTATACATTCAGTTTTTAACTGATAATAACTAGTTTACTAAATAATCATTATGATTCAACTCATGGATCATGTTTACTTCAATATCGTATTATACTCAGGTAGAATTCCTTTGCATTTTTATGTTAACATAAACAACAATGAAGTGAAATTTATTGTTATTTTATTGTTAAAATAAGAAATGAAAAACAAAATTTTCTTTTATACAAATTTAAAAATCATGTGATTATTGATCTATGGGATTCAGTGTATTCAATATAAAAGATAAGCTGTTGACTGAAACTCTTGCTACTTCTATTCTTCTCAACCATTTCACTCAAGTGAATGCGTACAATAAGCTAACACATACTATAATAAATACTGTTTGCATTATAGTTACAGTGACAATAACAATTAATACAATTATTACTAGGAGTAACAGCAGTTATCTTAACAAAAGTTATACCACCTAATAAATATATGATGAAATTTAGTCCTGTCCTTAAATGAACCTCCCCATTTTCATTGTTTTGCTTTTACGAAATCTGGGGTACAATTTATTAAGTCCCCAAGACGTTTACCTACTACGCAATCGCGTAAACGTTATTTCCATAAAAGTGATAATTAAAGTTCCAAAAGTCACCGACCACATCATTCAGTATGTTTTGTACAAAATTTGATATTTTTCATTTAAAACGACAAGAACAGTATTAAATTAAATAATTTAAAATTCACCGATAATTGGTAGTTAGAACCAGTCCACTAAATACACCGTTTAACTAATCCCTAAAGAACAGTTTCGTTATTATTACTATTATTATTATTATTATCGCGAAACAATAAGAATAAGCATTTTATTTCTTATGATATTTTTCATTTCAGTAGTCACCTGATGTGTTTTTTTACCATGCTGTTGATTTCCAGTTGATTTTTAATATAATGAATCCTGTTTTCTCTTTAACATTTCAATAGTTTAATAAAAGATTTAATATTAGATTATATTCTGTAACAACGGCTAATCTGTCAGTCACATCTTAATAAAAATAGGTCGTTGTTCAATAAACAATAAAACAGTTCCTAAATGCAAAAAAAAATTTAATAGCTATACAAAGTACAGAATACTTCAAGAATTTAAATCAATTCAGATTATTCTTCAACAGCCTAACAGTAAGTGTTACATATATTTTGTAATGTAAGCTTTTGATTTAACTGGATTTAAAATTAATTATACAGAAGTAGAAAATGATATTTAAAAAAAAGCGGTCGGTATTCAGTTGTTCTAATGAAAATTAGAATAAAATTTCCAATAAGGTTACATTTTATCAGAATAAACAGGCATAGGAAACAATACATCAGGGAATAAATCTTATGAAAAAATATGATTCTATAACATATAATCATAAGGTCAACATGTAACACTAGTTATCAATCTGGTGATTTAGCTGCATAAGCAAACAACTAAATTTTCGATTGAATGACTTATTTCCTCAACCGAAATATTACATATATATATTTGAATGCGTGACTTGACAAAATTAGCGAAATATTTTAATGCAAATGATATAAATGAATATAATGTGGTGGCTGTTAACCATCAAACCAGTATCAAAATCAACGCTGTTCCAATGCGATTCCGCTTACAGTCTACCAACTATCTACTACAATTTTGCAAGCAATCGTCGGCCATCTTAATGCTTGCGAAGTCAGAAATACTTTCGATTGTTTTCAGCATTGATAAGATTGAATGTTTGGAAATAAATGATTTAGAAATAACCAGTTGGCAAGTATTTTATTATCAAATTCACACCACAAAATGAGTTCCGATTTAAACTTTGTCCCATGTATTTTTTCCACCTAATGTAGCAACAAGCTCATGAACTTCAGTCCAGATTCTACATCGAACTGACTAAAATTGTAACTCAAGGAAAACAAACACTTTAGGAATACAGTGATGTCAATTCTCAAGTTAAGAAAGTTATATGGTTTGAATATAACTAATAAGTAGCTCATATCAGTCACATTTAAACGATATTGGTTTTACAGTAAAGACAACCAAAGCATTCGGTGTTTTATCGAATAAAGTTCCATTTCGTTCGTCGGGTATGAGGGAAGCTATATGGGTTAGTGTGAATAATCCTATTCTGATATTTAAAAGTTTGTTTCAAATTTATCTTTTCCTTCATCAGAGAAATAATCATAAACGATAATGCCAATTGTTTTTATCTTTTCGGTTTTTCTTCTAAGCCTCAGTACATAAACTGACTATTCGCACATTTTTTAATACGTTGCTTCAGTGATCAGAATCTTTATAAGTTAAAGTTTTCCAACTTTGATCTTCTTTCAGTGTTGGTGTGTTTGTCCATGCTTTCCGATCTTTATCCCTCCAATATTTATTACCACATCTATCGCCATACTATCAACTTTTACATATTACCGATTACAAATGATTGTGTAATCCATTTCATAATCATCACTAACTCACACATCATCTTGAGTTATTTGATGTTTTATTAGTGATACATACAAATACTACTGTATGTTAGATGATAACGAAAATTTAAATACAATTTTTTGTTTAAATGTTTTATTCTAAAACCGGAAACAAATATAATCCCCATTGATTTGATGTCTGGAAAGCAAATGACGCCATTAGCAAATGGAAAGTATAGGTTTTATTCATATCTGTGAGGTGAAGAGGATTATCCTTTCGATTTAAATTCGAAATAATACAGACTCTGAATAAGTGAATCTGAAGATTTACAATATTTGAAAGGATCTCTCTACAGCCGCAGTATACCAAAGAACACCGGTTTACTCGTTCAAATAAATAAGTTTCTGTCTTCAGTAAGAAATAGGCTCTGATGTGAAATCTTGGGACACTATCTCTCAAGCATGTCGCCAGCTGTAATTAAGTAGCCAAACCAGATATATTTCTTCAAATTAAAGGTGATCAAATAATATCAAAGGGAGTATGAAGCGGAAGTATACATGAATCAAAAGCTTTGACAGTTCATCAATCCAGTGTCCAAAAGTAACATATCAAGTCATTCATTTAGCAACGATTCACACTTATCACTTCCCATTTTACTGCGTAATTCTACGTTATCTATTTTATTTCTCCGCACAGTATGGGGTTGGGAATTTCGAAATCGGAAATTTTTATCAAAGGCGGATGAGTATGTTTAAAGAGGAAATCTGTAGACTATGTTTGTATGGAATAGATTTGATACACTATTTGTGTAAGTAATAATAATCAGTAATAAAAACTTGTCACATACATGGAATAGTAAAATTTTCATTCTGCCTCTCAATATATTGTATAGATTCTTAAATATCAGTTAGTAAAATCAATTGCAGATACTAGTGAATCCAAAAGTACACTTCTCAAGAAATTCTTGAAATGAAAGTAGATTTAACTTGAAGTCATTTATATTGGTTATTTAAATCTTCACATTGATGATTAGGATTGTAATTGACCAGCCTTTTTAGCATATGTGCATCCTCGATATTGCTTTCAGTTAAAACGTGTTATTAGCAGAGGTGAACAGTGGCTACTGGCTAGTATTGGTATCCAGGACACACGTTTCATCCTATTTCGGACTCATTGGCTGAACATACCTACATCTTCAAGTTGATGTTCACTCCATAAACCCAGTACTGTTCTCTTCAAACATCATCGAGTTATGCACTTAGCTACTGAGTCTAGTTAGCCACGCGCTTTTGCAATGGAGTCAAGATTAGTTCATTCATATTGATTATTTGAATCTCATTATTTTTAGGACTGCAGTCGATAAATCTCTCAGATGCAGGTACATCCAGCTGACTAGTCCCAAACAGGATGAAATGAGCGTCCTGCATTCCACTGCTAGCTACTATCCACCTCTGCTAACAGCTCTAACTTGATTTTAAATACCCTAACCTAAAATTTACATACAAAATTAGTTTACATGTTAGCATCAATCAATTAAAAGATCTACCTCATTTTTCCCTAGATCGCTTGTATACGCTTCATGTATTTTAGAATTTGCATAAGGACACACAAATACAAATTACAAAATCAAAGTTTGCCAGAAATCATTATGTTGATATTTTGATTGGTAAAAAAAAGGTGTAAAGAAGATGGAAGTGTGTATTGGTCTAGTGATGAAAATTAGGTCGATTTAAGGTAAATCTTGTCACTATAACTAAAACCTGTAGCGAACTAATGTGGCAAACAAAACCGATCACAATAGTTATACAATTGACCTCTGGACTAATTCTGCGAACAAAATCTCATCATCGCGAGTGGTAATTTTCAAATGAGTAATAATTTCAATCAAATTAAGCATATTCCCCACTAGTATGTAAAATTACAGTAAATGTCTTGTTTCACAGACATTACTTGTAACCATTATGTATGATGTGTTTGAATTCAACTTGAAATAGATTGTATTATCTCACTGTTGATATTTCTAACTGAATGCCTATCAAATTTAGGTAAACTAGAACGCTCGTTTCATTTTTTCTGCGATTCCTAGATAATGAAACCACTAGATTCGAGTATTGGAGTGAATAATAACTCTGGAGTGCAGGTACATCTGGCTGAAAAGTCCTACAAAGGACGAAATATGTTTCCTAGATTCCGCTGGTAACTATATTGCATCTACTGTATGCATAGTGTATGTGGTTGGGTCCTCTACAAAATTATATTTAAACTGCATCCTGATTCACTGATTGAGACATTCCTAACTGTTACCAACTGGATAATAAGATCAACTTTTGGTCTGTATATTCATAAATAACTAAAATGCGAATTATTTATCACTTCAATTCAAAAAATCAGGAGAAAGAAAATTCAAAGTATTCAAAAACGATGAATATGCTCTTTTTGATTCTAATTAATGAAAGATCACGAATTTTTCAAACATCCTGAAAGTCACTACAAAAAAACTTTGTTTAAACCAGATCAACATTCTGTTCAGATTCAGTTTGTGTGATTATACATACATAGAGAATTTAGATGCGCTTCAATTTCAAGATTAAATAAACGTAATCTTTTACATAGAAATTTATATCATACATCAGTATTCATCATGTTAATCGTAGAAAAAAAAAGTTCTAGTAAAATTTACTGAAAAACTTCTAGATTACCTTCGATATACTGCATAAAATACCACATTAAATCTTTTTAAAATTATCTTAATGAATTGGGAAAAAGTATGTTCATAATAATAATTACAAATTGACAAACGTTCAAACGAATACACAATGAAGTATTGAATATTAGAATAACACATATATAAACGAATAATATCACTTTCGATTAGATAGTCATCAGACTTTACTTCATTATGCGTGAATATTTATATTAAAATATTAAACCAATTATTAGTTAATGATCATCATGAAATAGATTACATAACTACTACACGTCATAGGTATAAGTGCAAATTAATAGTAGGAAGACCAATTGTTTCAAATATCTATACTTTAAAGTTAACTAACCTCTTTTCCTGCGTAATGCATCCAGACTAGTTTTCAAAGGGAAGTTCTATAGACAAAAAAAGAGATGTACCATATTTGTCAACAACAATCTACAACAATCTAGTCGATAAATAAGACTCAGCAAAAAGAATGCAAGTCCGAAATACTGAGTGAAATAGTTTTACATGTTCTATTTCTACTGTAAACTGAAGCATGAGACAAATTCAATTATCCAGAAGTAATGCTGATAAGAAATCTCAACAAATATCAAATCCCAGTACTAACTTGATGTCGATGTACCATTTCAGGAGATTGTAATATTTTTACAGGCTAATTTGTCTAACTTATTATTAAATATATTTCGTTTCAGAAACATCATCCATCGTACTTTATCAATAAAATGAGCGCATATAATGGACAATGGAAACAGTTGACTCGAATGTTTCACCATCATTAACAAGTGTCCACTTGTCGGATCTTTGTAGGAACCAATTTTTTTTAAAAAAAATGTATTATTTCCATGCGGGTATGTAAGTTGACTCAAAACAATATCTTTTCATGAAAGGCGTTACTCAAGTTATCAAAAATGATAATTAATGTGTATTACCAGTCAATAACGAGAAGTGATTTCTTTCAGTATGAATACGTGATTTAAACCAGACTGTAATCCTTCAGATAATCTGAAAATATCTCACTTGTTTCAAAACAACGGTTTTCAAGTGGGTTATTATATACTGCTACTGTTTTCTGTTGTTAGATTTTACCTACAAAAATGTATCTTGGAAAAGTGCGTATATTCTGTTTCTCCTCCGTGCACTGCTTATTTATTTAATAGTGTATTGCAATAACAGAAAAATCGATTGTATTTACTTTTTTGACAGTATGATGCTTATTAGTAGGGATATAAAAATATGCAAACAAGAAACTAAAACTCTAACTAAAAAGTGATTAATAACCACACATATATTCATGAAGTAATTAAAACAATCAGTTTCTTTTCTAGTATTGATCCTGAGAATACGATACATTGTATTTCTTTCAAGATATTCATTCATCATGTTTTCTGGAGGAAATTCAAAATAGATTTTCTACTCATTTTAAAATTCAACTAGGAAAGTTTACATGAATATAATGGTCATTTTAATAAAAATATTTCAAAATTACCTTCTTTGGATTTTTTAGTCGTGAAGTTGTAAATTCCAAACTACTCACTGGTTGTTCACGAGGTAGTTTAGAAGGTTTTGGATGTATGTAAAAGTCGTCAGAACTTTTGCTTGTTATATTACCGGTAGAAACAAAACGCTCTTTTCGTCCAATAGGAGATTTTGACCATCGCAATTTGTCACTTTGCTGGGATAGTGAAAATGCTGGGGGTGTAATTGAAATTCCATTTACCACACCACGATAATTTTTAGTTACTAGCCGTCGAAGACTACCGGTGCCAGATGAGATAAATCCCGGTGATACTTGATCTGAATGAGGACCAGAAAGGTTTGTATATACAGCCAGAGGTCGTAGAATTGAAGCAGCTTGACTTGAACCTCCAGTTATTGTATATGCATGAGGCGGTAAGACGTCCACTTCTGAGTCTAATGGCTCATTTAGGCGATCAGAAAATCTGACTTTATGACTCTCAGCTTGTAAAGGAGTCTGATTTTCAGATTTAGTTCTAGAACGACCACCAACAAACGTCTCTACCCAGAACTGTCTGAAACGTGAATGTACTGTTTGTATGGTTTTCGGCTCAGAATTCTGATGTCCATAAGTATTTGGACTTACTGATCCTTCTAATGATATGACTACTGGAGATTCACAATTTGATGTTGTATTCGCACTTACAGAAAAAGGAGAATGGCTTGATCGGTGAACACTTGAATGAACGTTGCTTTGTCCACTTGCTCCGAAATTCAGCGATGTAGATAAATCTCCTCGGTTACCAGAAGCTTTATCTTTTGAATCAGCGGTTGTATGAGTATGAGTTTTACGGCTCGTCGTAGCTGTTGTATTCAGTCCTAGGTTAGCTGAACCAGATCCACGACCCCACATAGCCTATTATAAAAAGATAAATTTTAATTCGACATTTATTTAGATGTCTAGTTTCAAATGAGAAAATACGGACTTAGTGTTTCTGATCAGTTTCTTAAAAGCTAAATAACATAGATCTTAATATTCATTTAAGTTAAACCATGAGCTTCATAAATGAAGCATCTATAATTCCAACTAATCTCAAAAATACAACAACCTTTTTTCAAATAAAAGTAAGATTTCAGTGATCGTAGAAAGTTGATTGATTTCTTTTCATTATAAAAACCATTATCAATTTCTAATTATTCATTTTTCATGATGAATTAAAGTTACATTTACCTTTTGTACAGGATACTTTTGTATTGATCTTTTCATTAGTAACTATTTACATTCATTTGATAGAAAGGCAGAATGTAAACAGTGTAAAAACTGAAATAATTTTTAATTTTTAATTTATTAGTAACAATTTATAACGGTAAATCGACTGAGAGTTAAAGTTAAAAAAATATCCATTTCGTGAACATAACCTAACTAATAATGTTACAAATATAATTGTAAGAAAAAAAAATAAATAAGTGAACATAACAATCGATGCGTATGAATTAAATACATTGGACAAGATTTGAAAATAAAACAAAGTCTTAAGTTATTTTTCAATGTCCAACTTCTGTGTATTCAATAAATATAAATAAAATTATAAAATTAAATGTGAATTTTCTAATTAGAATAAACAGAATTCTGTTTCAGTGAATAATTCAATAAAATGTATTAAATGATATAATTAATTGACTCTGCAATCCGTGTAAAATTAGTTAAAATGCGACCACATAGCATGAATCGATCATTAACATCATAAGCATTAAATTCTAATAGAAGTGAGCGACTTGGATTTCTTCACAAATGGCTGGCAGAGTATACTTTCAATTTTTATCTTGATTAGCTGTTGTTGACTCTGTAATTGCCTTCGAAATCATCAATCTGAACTAAAAATATTTTCCAAGGTCTCAGTATCAAGCTGTAAACTCAGTATACAGAATACAAACTAACCTACCACAAATCAACTGTTGTTTTCATATATAACTACATAGTTGTTAAACATAAGTTAAGTTAATGATATTTTACTGGATTGTTTTAACTTTGAAATCTGATAATCATGCATCTAACTTTCGACTATAGCTTAAGCTTAAACTAATATAAAATTCACTTCAATATTGAAATTTTTCAGACAGATAACATAAGGATTGTGTGACTGATAAAATCAATATGGCATACAGTCAGAATTCTTCTGTAAATTAATACTTTCAAACATAAAATTAACTGGTTGTTTATAATTTGCAATTCAACCCGTTATTACCAGTGTATATTAAAAGCAATCAGACAATTAAAATTATGATATCCTTTTAAAAGTTCACTAACTGTAGTCTATTTATTAAACACTAAACAAGCATATATATTATGATTAGATTTAGAATGATGTTGAATTAATGAGAGAAATAATAAATTTGTGAAGTCCTATTGGAAGCAGACAGCAAAAGCATGAATCTCAATTAGGTAGAACTGGAAAAAGGAACTCCCAGGATAGAGTTTGTTGGAGAATGTTGGTTGGCGGCCTATACTCCATTAGATGTAACAGGCGTTAAATAAATTAGTAACTGAGATTCAATAGAACCTCAGAAATATATTATTTCTATTATGAACAATTTACTCAATGCCTAATCTATTAAAAAATTACCAAGTTAAAGCTTGGTACTAACACTTGCAATGCTGAATCATTTCAGAATGTTGAATGTAATAACATGTAAACAAAAAAAACGAATAAATGAATGTCATGTCATAATCAATTTTATTTAATGAACTGTATCAGCCACAATCAGGAAGCCTCCGATTTAGAAAAAAAAATTCAGCGATCAAATTAAATAAACGATAGAAAAAAAAAACGTGAGCTATATATATTTTTCAAATATAATATAATATAAAATAACTTTTGACGCATTGCAGTCAATTTTATACAAAGTGTCTGAGAGTACCCACGTTACTTTAATAGATAAATGAACTGTTTTACACCTACACATCTAAACTATTCACCTAAAAGAATGGCCTTTACGTTGTGTTACGTGATATAAATTTAAGATTTATTTGTAAAAAATAAGATAAACTTGTTCATGGTGAAATGATTAGTATTTTATCTTAACTTGAACAAATTTAGAGATCAATTGAAATTATGAAAGTAATTATCAGAATAAATATTGAAAGTATTAGGTGAGAAAAATAATATTCAAATAAATTAGATGACCCTATTACTCAGAAGATTACACAATGAGCAAACTATGTCACTTAAGAATGATATTGAAAGGCGTGGTGATTTCTGTTTAAATTCATCATATATTTACTACAATTACCAATGTTAATAACGACAAAAAGTAACAAATTAAAGTTATGAAAATACAAGTTTTGCCATCTAATAAATGAATTGACTATCGATTTAGGGGGTCTGAATTCAGTCAAAATAATCTAAGAAGCTGTCGGATCCAATTCTTTTATTCTAAATGTTCCTGTTTATATTCGAAACAGTAAATCCTTGTGGAGGACTCTGAAGACTGAAATACTTAGATAAACAATTATTGATGCAATGGATCCAACTCTGGTATTATTGCTTGCAACCTGAAAACAATAACCAGGCAATCCGAACAGGGTGCGCACTCACTTAAAAGGCTGATCGATTGCAGTCCTAAACATCAATGAGGAGATACAAACAAACAAACAGACCAAATGAAATAACTTAAGTGTTTTGCGAAACGATGTACAATTAAAGCAATAGTATTACTCTATAGAATGAAACTCTATTGATGATAATGGTACTCTGTTCTTATTTAAAACAAGATAAATTAACAGCATAGAAAAAACAAATAAAACTTGTAAAATCTCAACGGAAACCACAGATTATAGTTTCCAAATCGAGTTAGTTACAAACTGAATTATTGTCAAACTTGTTTTCAATCAATTTATCAATAAAGTTATGTTTAAGAACAAAGAATAGTATAAGTAAATGATCATTTACTCGTTTCAATGAGCCCATGCATTTATAAATCTAAATAAAATTAGTATTGTATAACGATGGATAAAAAAGTTTTAAAACTGAATTATTCTATGCTATATAAATCAAAAATGGAAATCGTAAATTTCATGCCAATTAAGTCCTACTTAAATAGTACAAACTTTAACTGTGAAGCCTGATGAATAATTCATGGAAAACGATTGTTTGTATCAAGACTACTTTGTTTTTGAATATTACATGCGAGTTTTGAATTGCTAAAGTTTTGCAAGTGTTATATTTATTCAGAAAATAAATGTTTTACAAGCATTACCTAAATAAAAGTTCATAGTTTATTTTCCTAAGAGACAACAGTTTGTAAATAGATCATTAGAAGTTAACTTTTATAATAGGAATACAATTTTTTTCTAATCTTTAACAAGTTCAAATTAGTTCATCAATTTCTGTAAATATTTTCTAGCTCTCTACAGCAAGAAACATTAAGAATAAAGTGAATAAAAATATTGAAAGAAATGGGTAAAAAAAACTTAATGAAACTATTTATGTGACGATAGTAGGCTGCCTTAACATTAGAATTATCATAAATAGTTTATGAATCCAGAATAAAATGATTGATGAATAGTCAATCATTCTTATGATTAACTATTGACACATGATTTAAATTTACTTACGTTAAAATCGATAACTTCCTTGAGAATGATGAATTCTCTAATATATATATATATATATATATAACCTGAATAAATAGTGCTGTTTCCGAAAAGTGGTAATCACTAATTGTGATCCAGCTAATACCAAGACGGTCGAGTCATATCATGAATTCAATGAAGTTAGAAATCCACACCGCTGGATGCCAATTCAATAGTTTAAAATTTAAGCATTCATATGTGGAACTGAAGATAATGGTTGTGATTCCCGTTGTATGGGGTCTGAGGTGTACACTACTGAGGAAGCCAGTTCTAAAATGAAACAGCCGTTCACTGATTTCAGGTTTTCAATGGTGGTTTAACGTATATCGGTAAATTGATTTGTTTTTGGACATGCTATAAACTACTTGTAATGGTAATGTCGAGCAAACTATTAGTGTAGCTAATTTATTTACCTTTTCAGAGAGTAATTAATCAAAACGAAAATGCTAATAATTATAACAAAAATCATCTTTAAACTCATGACAACGCATATGCCAATTACTACCGTGAAAAAACCATCAATCAAACGAAACCGTAGTGGATATGGTCAAGCTCAATTTCATCAGAACATTTTAAATGGGCGCATACACGTCCAACCACTACATTTATTCAGGTAAACATAATTCATTATATAATGCAATATGCAATCTAGTTAATGACCTTGCGTATATAACTCCGGGTGAAAAATTCATATTACTAAAGAGTTATTGGTATTAAATGTTGACTGCTAATTAATCGCTGATTTAAACCTTTAACTGGTAGCTAATCTATGCTCATCTATCATCATCATCCTTAATTCAATAAAATATTCACTATTCAACCATGATGTCTTATGGCTGAGTGTTATCGAAACCGATTTGAGACAAAATAGATCTGCAATGTTCATAAGTTTTATGTTATGTTTTTATGTTATTATTATCGTATTTTCAATCATAGGAAAGTATTATGGAAAAACAGTTGACATGCAACCATAATTTCACTTAACCTATCAATAAGATATAATATAAATGATAAATTTACTTCAATTAAAATTTCTTGCTTTACCGTCTGGGGATAATCAATATAAAAAAACTGATTTGATTATTTTGTGTAAACTCAGAAAATGGAATTGCATTGCCCTATTGAATTGAAAATAACCGAGTAGAATTCATCAGATTTTGCATTTCCTTGTAGTTACCAACAAGAACCGCTTATAATGAGTCAAAAACCGGATTTATTGCTTTACAGAATGAAAATGAATTCTACCAAAGTAATATAAATTCCACAGAGATAACAGTTACATA